TGAGAACACATGCTATGACGAGAAACCACTATGAGAAAGTCTTTGCTCAAAAATCGCCTACTGCTATGCCTGCTGCTGCCAAAACACACATGGTCACACTGAGCCATAGGATGTTTCCTTATGAGTAATCTGTTATAAAAAAAAATGTTGTCATATGTTTTCCACAGCCTGACGCTCTGTCAGCAGTGGGCTTCCTAATTAAAGTTCAGTAAAATAAAACTGATTCATCGCTCTTTTGAATCAACAAACTACAGCACAGAGTGATTATTGCAAGCTGAGAGCAGATTGTGTGTGAGTGTGTTAATTGAGGTGTTATATGGAGACACAAAAAAAAAAACATTTGCAGGATTTTCCTTGGTGCTACTGTGATAGAAAACTGAAAAAAATGTTAATTTACCCCACAACGATTTCTCTTTAAGTTGCTAACTTTACATAAATTTCCCCAATACACTGGCAGCCCTGGAGCTGTGGGGGTGGGGGGCAGTGGGAATACTTTTCAAGATGGGATCTAGGTCATCGATTAGGAAAATGTAATTATTGATTTTATGTAAACATGTCATCATCACCACCTTTAAGTTATCATCTTAGTATAAACAGAAAATCATGTGATATTGTCTTGTCTCTTTTCTTGCTAAGATGAGAAGATTGATACTCATGTCTGTACAGTAGGTGCTAAGCTACAGCAAGCAGCCAATTAGCTTAGCTTGGCATAAAGACCATAAACGGGGGGAAGTAGTGAGCCTGCCTCTGATCAAAGGTAACAATATGTGCCTACAGCACCTCTTTAGCTCACTAAATGACTTGTTTTATCTTGTTATATATTGATCTTCTCATCTGACTCACGGCAAAAAAACAGACAAGTATATTTCCGAAAACGTCAAACTGTTCCTTTGATGTACTATATATCACACTCTACACATTATATATGAAAATGGAGAGATAAATTCACATGCATAATAGAAGACAAGAGCAAGAAGGGGAAAAAACATTTCACCTTGTGTGTCTTCTCTTTTTCATTCTCTATTTATTTACCCAGCTCTCCCCAGGCAGCCGGCTGAGCTGCTGGGATTATGAGATGCTGTAACATAGACGGAGCTCATCCTGCATATCAGTCCATCAGCATTAACACGGTGTATGTTCAAATAAATACCTCTGCGCTTCAACCGCTGTGGTTTCATTTCAACCCCAGCCTGTCTGATAAGGCTCACTTATTTGCATGGGTGTAGCTGTTTGTTTGGTCCCATGCAGATAAACTGAGACAGCACTGATAGCGTTTACCATGGGAAATGAGTGTGTGCAGGTAAATGTATTGTAGTACCACAATTTTGAGTAGTTGCTTTGTGTGTGTCCTTCAGTTAAGAAAGATAATGATGGAGATGCTGCTCTTATAACAAAGATGTATCATAAAGAGTGATAGTGAATTAATAAACCCATGCAGCTGTCTTGATAAAAAGAGCAAGGACAAGCCGATACTTTTCATTACTCAGCCTCTTTTTATTAGTGACCATTAACTGTACATCACTGTCTTTCACTGCTGCAAGAAAAGCACTGACATCCATTTGTATGGGCATGTCAATAATTTGCTGCCATGCCTGTTGATGTGGCATTAGTAGATGGCCGTTGCTCAGAGCCCAATCAGCAACAATACACTGAGCGCTAGATGATATCGGAAAGCTGTCAGAGCAAGCGTAATGGAAATATATAGCCCACTCTGAGAACATGGACGGAGGATTTTCTCTCCTTCTTTTCCTCTACCTCCCTTGCTCTGTCACTCTGTGTCTCTCTGTTCACCTCTTTGTCACTCTTCTCTCTGTCAAGGAATTGCGTTTTCCCTATCTTAAGCAGCGTGTGTGAGGTGCAACGGATTGGACTGACAAAGCTTTATTGTTCATTTAAGGATTGAGAGATGGAATGGATGAACGGTTGCAACCAACAATGGCAGCAATCTTTGTCCCACTGGTTATCGTGTGTGTGTGTGTGTGTGTGTGTGTGTGTGTGTGAGAGAGAAAGAGAGAGATTTGTTTGCTTTGTTATTTTTGTGTGCTTGTTTTGTTTTGAATCTGAAAATGTAGTCATTATCATTCTGTGGTTTAAATTCTGTTGCATAATCTGTGATAAATGTAAATTGTTGTTGTAATGAAAAGGTTGACAAAACAGTCCACCACAACGTCCGCCTAGCAGCTGTCCTGGAGCGTCCAATCATATGATGACCCTCTTGTGCATGGAGTTGCACAATTTCATGGACATAGATTTCCAAATTTTTCATCACTTTCATGACTTCTCATTGAATTTTAAAGTTTATTCTTGACCTTGGAAACAGCAGTTGACAAAATAATGTCAACACAAGGTCCAGTAGCTGTTCTGGTGTTCTGGAGCTTTTGATCAACTTATTTAGATCAGTTTATTCTGTAAAAAAACAAATAAATATAGGCTCTTTTAAGAAAAACCAAACGCATAAAAAAATGTATTTTTCACCTATAGTTTGAACTCTTCAATAATCATTACCATACAAAATACTCATTTGTGATTGGCTGGTGGGTGTCTGTCAAAATTGTACAAATAGTTTGGGTCAAAGGTCTAATCACTGTCTTAAATTAGTGGGCTTATGTGTAATATCCTCTGCAACCAGAATTCCCCAGGCTTCATATCATATGACCAGTTGTTAACCTCCCTTTTTTTTCTTCAGCATGTTTAAAGGGTAGGCTAGAAGTGTGATAATACACTCTGAAGTGTCTTGAAAAATAATAGGCTCTGTGGTGGAAAATGCCACCAGTTCTTGTCATGCTCTTTTTCACTTCCACCTTGTTTTAATGTAGAGAAATACAGAAATATTTTTAATTGATAATGTTGAAATATATTATGGGTGGGCCTTTAAATTATCTTTTTTCAGGTGCTGTTGCATTTAACCTCAAAAAATCTTGATGACAGATAAATGACCTATTCTCCAGACACTGCATTGCTATTCTACACTAAATACAGAAGCAATGATGACTGATTACTCTGCATTTCTAGTGGCTTGGGACTAGGCAGGAGTATATTACTCTGATGAAGACAGTATATACATTAGATTAGAGAAGATGAAACTTGAAATGATCCCTCGGGAAATTGAATCACTTCAGTGGAAAATAGTAATATAGTAGAGTATCCACACAGGAACAGAGCAAATGGAGTTTATTAAACACAATGCAACCAACAATTACACCAGTAAACTGTGATGAATGTGAATTATAGTGTGTGTCAGTGTGTGATTATCGTGCTTACAGTACATTGGATCTGCAATCAGACCTGCTCTGGAAGGTTCCACTCGATTATGAATGGAGGGGTGTGCAGTCCAGGGGAGAAATGGAATGGATCTGATTGGTTGAGAAGGGAAAGCTCTCAAACACGTTGTGGTGTTTTTGCAGCTATGTCACGTGTGAGTGAGTGTGTGAGAGAGAGTGCGTTTGTCTTCATATAGGGGCTCCTTCTGTTATTTGCACGTAAAGTATCTCTTCATCTCTCTCGCTCACTGCTTTGAGGGGCAAATGAAAGTAGGGACAGGAGTGAGATGGGGAGGGAAGGAGGGGGGAGGAGAGTAACAAAAGGCACAAGATGAGATATGAGCAGTTGAGTGCGGTCATGGTGTATTCAAATTTTATCATGGAAGTTTGAGAGGTCCATTCAAGGCAGGAAATGTGAGGGAATTTGATAAAGGGATGGAAGGAAAAAAGTGTGTGTGTGGGGGGGGGGCGTCAAGGAATTTTACAAATGTGCCACACGATAATATGTCTGTATTTTGATGCGTGCAACAATATTTTCAAATGTTGATTACATGAAAAGACAAGTTACCGTTTATAGAGCAACCTATCACTAACTGTTTTGTTCCGTTTTGTTAAATTTCATTCTTTCAACCTGACATTGGGGCTTTATTTTGTTTTACCCTAACCAAACACAAGTTAATGGACTATCTGTCCCACTGACTTTCCCAGTGGTCTCCTACTGTTTATGCTCATCCTCTCCCACCATTTTTCCTCTCAATGTTACATAACCTAATGTTACATTTCATCCGCTTACTTAAAAATGTAGGTTTTGCTTTTGGACAAACACCAACACAGACACACATACATTCTCCCCGCTTTTGATATTATTCACACAAGCCTACAATATATGGTTGCAAGATTATCCATTCATCAGTATACACAAATTTAATCCCTGTGTTGCTCTCTCTTTCTCTCTCTTCTCCTCTGTATGGCTATTCATCATGTCTCTCTCTCCCTTCATGTGTTTCCATCTGCCCAGTTTTCTTGCCATTACTGGGCTTTTTTCACCCAGAGCTGCTGGACCTCAGGGACCATCAACAGTGTTCTTGTCTTGACAGGGGCCCCTGGAGACTCTGAAAATGGCCACAGTTCTTCTGTACATGAGAGCCCCCTAGGTTCAAAATAACCTTTACAAACACACAGGCTTCTCTCCCAGACATTTCAGGCCAAAGTGTGACCAGGATATTATGTAGTGTAAATTGAACTGCACCTTATAGTGTTGGCTTTGATAAAATGTGTCATGGTTGTTAAAGTACTGCTCGATTTTTTTTTTTTTTTTTTTCCTCCACACCCTTATGACTTAAATGTGTTAGTGCACAGATAAATAAAGCTAACTGCTTTTTCCTCCCCGTTCTTCTTGTCTTCCCATATATTTGCTCTACCTTTAAATCACCACATTCTTATGTCTCATTATTATCCTTCTTCTCAAACCTTGCTCCATCACCTATTTTTCAATCCTTTTTCAATCCCATCGCCTGCCTTTCTTTCTTACTTTTGACCTCCACTGCTGCCCCCACGCATTCCTCCATCCTTCTTCTGTCATGTTTTTTACTCTCTTGCTCTCTTCGCTTCATGTCTCCATGCCCACTCTTCATCATTCCCATAATTCGTACATCCACTCCTACCACTTCTCTCATCCCTCTTTCTCTATTTTTCCACCCTGTCCACTGTCAATCATTTTTTCCTTTCATTCTTCCACAGAACCATGAGAGGGAAACGGCGCTTCACTGTGCAGCTCAGTATGGACACTCTGACGTGGTCTCAGTGCTGCTTCAGGAGCTGACTGACCCCACGATGAGAAACAGCCGACAGGAGACGCCTCTGGACCTGGCAGCGCTATATGGACGGCTGCAGGTCAGTGACATTGACGACACATTAGTTATGTGAAAAGAATAGTGAGCTGATGGTGGATATAAATATGTGAAATGTATGCTAAAGCCTACCACATAATCTCACCTAAATGACAGTGTTTATAAAATGACAGTATAACGTAAAACCAGGAGAACATTCACCATCAAATCCAGTCATAAATGTCTGAAACATCAACACCATCACCAACCCTCGACTGCTAACCCTCCGTATTTACCTGAAAGACGTATCCTCAAGTGGCTCATGAACATGTAACAGTTTGATAGCAAGAGAGATAAATGAATATTTGACCCTGTTAAACTTGACCTTTTGCAATGTTCAAAGGGGAGAAGCTAAAATCTCCATAGAGGATAGAAAGGACTGAATGATTCAAGCCTTTGAAGTTAATGAGAATGCCATGGTCAGTACAAGGGCAGTGCACCCCTAATAACATTTGGGTTGCAATGAAAATTTAATTGTAACTTTTAACAAAATTTGTGAAAAAGTCAAAGCTAGGAATAAAAATACTGGGGGTGGGGCCGGTGAAGGAACATATTTTTGTTGTTGCAACACTGGTTGGGAGGGTGGGATCTGGGGGGTATAAGTGAACCTCTGCATGCATTTTATATCCTGGTGAAGCTCCTTGCTGGCGGGCGAAAAGAAGCAGCTGGTGACTCCATCTGCATTTTCCCCAGGACAACAGTGGGTGTTAGCAGTGACAAGGACCATGGTGCTTGGCAATCAGTTGTTCCAAAGTGGGAGATGCTGTTGATTATTTTGAATATGGTAGAAATATGATGAAAAGAAAACTTCCTCAAATACTTACTGTGCTAGACAGGCAGACAGGTACACATTTTTAGAACTGCAACATTACTCCTTTGTCAAAAATGTGACAAAAGTGACACACTAGCAGGTACACACTCACTGAGAGGCTGATGCTACAAATGCCTGCTGATGTTCAAAAGCAATCACACATTTTCTCTGCTAAGGTATTGAGTAATTGCAGTTGAGCCATACAGGTTTGTCTGAGTGTGAATGAATAATTTATGAAGGCAGCACATTATTTCTCTCTCTCTCTCACTCTGCATAATAATGAAGGGAAATCCCTATGGTGGAAACCACTGCTGCATGAAGATGTAACTAACACAGGGCAAAAGTTTAGTATATACACACACACGGCACACACAGAAAGACACGCATCAGAGGAGGAAGCTTTCGAAAAAACTGCTTCTTGTTGGGATGAGTTATTAAAAGCACCATCCATGATCAAACAAAAAGGGTTGCTCCACTACCGCAACTCAGAAACATCCTCTTACTACACGCATGTTGATTGACAGTTCTTTTAATACAAAACAAGTAATTGAACAGACCAACACTTTATTTTAATTTATGATTGAGTGTGAAAAAAGCAAATTGCTGATATTTCATCTTCAACTGACCTTTCGCTGAGCGCCAGCCCACCTAGCAACTGTTGCTAAGCTTTTCAAGCTTTTTTAGCGGACTTGTTATTATTACAGCAACACATGATTAATAGATAGACGATATAATGCTAAAAGACTGAGGCCAAAGCCACATGTCCCAGGCAAAAGTAGCATTCTTCCAAGATGCTGATCCATATAAAAGACATGGAAAGATGGAGAAGGATTGCTCACATATTGCAGAGTAGAGCTATAGTTGGCCCTAGTTTTACTGCACACTATTTCTGTATAAATAAAAATATGATTAATGTTATTCCTACAGAACCATGTTACTTTATATGAAAATGAGAATTAACTGAATATTGAGAAAGCTTAGTTGGATCTGGATCTCAGTGTAAACTTCCAGAAACCAAATAAAGCCCAGGTTTAATCCAGTTCTTATACTTCTTCTTTTGTGTTTTGGTCTTTAGAAAGTCAAAAAAAAGAGCACCACCCTAAATCCAAAGATTTACAGGACTGCCTTGCTCAGATATGGTTGCTAAGCTGTGATTTGAAAAGACTGATGTTCAGGAAAGGGGTTTTACAAGGGGTCAGTTACCTACCTCAGTGTATAGGATTAAAACTTGCCTATTTGTCTTTGACAGTGATATAAACATTAAAACACTGGTACATAATTTCTACTGCATGTCTTCCATAAATTAGTTCTCTGAGTGGGATTACGTAACATTGCTGCAAAATTAAAGAAGTCTTTTGTCTTTGTTTCTGATGGTCTGCCAACAACATTGTTACTGTGTCTCTTTTCTGGAGAAGATCAAACTTCTTCCTCAAGCGATTTAACTTTCGTGGTTACAAAAGGCGACCAAGGACCCAGTTTCCTCTAAGTTTGCTGTTTTGTCATTTGAGATGTTGCTATATTTTTGTGCGCAGGTGGTGCGCATGCTGGTGAGCGCTCACCCCAACCTCATGACCAGCCACACACGCCGACACACTCCGCTTCACCTGGCTGCGCGTAATGGACACCACAGCACTGTCCAGACCCTGCTCGAGGCTGGCATGGATGTCAACTGTGCGGTAAGAAAAAAATCATTTGCTGATTTTAGCTGTTAGTGTCCTCTATCAGCATCCAAGGACTTTAGAGATTTCTGGCACAAATTAGAGTGGCCTGTTATGGACAAAGATAATAATAATAGAATAACAAGAATAATGCTTTTCGTTTGCTCTTTTCATTAAGAATAAACTACCTTCCTTTTGACAAAATTGCATTTGGAAAAAATCTTAATATCTTTGTATGAACCAGAATTATGTGGTTTGTTGTAAGATGCATATTTTTTCACGGAGACATACAGCAGGTGTTTTGTGATTTTTGGATTATCATGAGTAGCCTCGTCAATATATATAGAAAGATGTGTTTTCATTAATGTGTCTTTTAAAAGATACACATTTATGCGCAATTACAGAACATAAACAAGTTAAAGAAATGTATGTATGGCTTGTAGGTACCAGTTCTGAAACAGAATTGAGTTTTAAAGTGGGACTTGACTTTGACATTTTCTTTGGATTATCTGATGTAGCTGCAAGTGGAGAAGGTGACTAGAAAGATATCTCTTTGTTCTTTTTGTCTGAGTAAATCTTTCAACATCTCTGAGAGTCTGAATCTCCTTCTTCCTCTCATCTCTGCTGTATGTGAATATTTTCAAGGCTGCTGCCTTGCGTTTTTAATGAAAGAGAGTACAGCTTTGTGTTTTGTGTATATAATCCACCACAGGCATAAATGCTTGGCAGATTCCCTTTTGAAAGTGTGTCTGTGTGTGTATCAGAGAGCATGTATATGTGGTGTATGCCTCCCATGGTGTGGTGGTGGAGAAGGATGAATAATTGATTTGGAGGAAAGACTGAGAGTGCAGGCGGAGGAGGAAGAAGAGAAGGAGGAGGAGGAAGAGGACAGGGTGTTCCTCAGAGGTCCTGAGAGTTCACTGTCTCCTTTTTCCCTTTACATATGCTACATCATCAGTCAAGAAAATAGAAATGCAGAGTCACCTACAGTATGTGGCGCTTCATTGCTGCTCAGTTTCTGCCATGCGGTTGGGACTGCTCTTCCCTTCATTCGTTTACATTTTGTCTTATTGTGTATTCTGGATTGTCTAGATGATTCAAACGCAGCTTTGTCCTGACCCTTTCTGGGCCATTTGTTTTTTTGAAGCCTTGTCAAAATGCAGCCATGCTTTGCTGCTTTCCTCAACACAGTTTTCTTTCTCTTGAGACAAATTTCTTTGACAAACTAAAACATTTGACTTCTTCACTTGTCTTAAATGTGTAGAAAAAACAACCATTTGTTGTGCTAATCAGTCTCTTGAGACTGTTTCAATCTTTTCTGATAATGTGATCAGAATAACTGTACTGTTCACACTACAAGACTTTTCTTTCCTGTTAAAGTCTTCAAGGAGTTTTTCCGATGCAGTAAACAACCAAACTTCACCAGATATGCACTGCCTGTAAATACCTGAATCCACATGCACTTGTACTTGAATACACTTGGATGTTTTGTAGGAAGGTCTTGTATCATGCTTAGATTCTTTTTTTTTTGTTTAAGATTTTTTGAGCACTTTGATGTTGTTGACAGTGACAGTGGAGAGGAAGACAGGAAAGGCAGGGGAGAGAGAGGGGATGATGTGCAGCAAAGGGCCCAGGCAGGATTCGAACCTGAGCCGCTCCGGCAAGGACACATCCTTGGCGCTCACGTAGATTATTTTATCGAGTCTGTGCTGTTTGGAGATCATGAAGGATTGAAGGAAAACCAGCTTCAAGGGTTTCAGTGCTCAGTCAGTCTCAAAGTCCCCAGGAAGCTCCTGAGTCTGAATCAAGAAACAAGACAGTTCAGATGCTGAGGTGCCGTAGAGGCAGGGAGCAATCAATATCAGGGTTTGCTCAACAAACATGAGAATAAACAAATCCCACAAAGCCTTTATAAAGAAAAATCCCCTTTTGCACTGTAAGGTTGATACTAACCGTTTTGTTATTGTACAGTCTGACATAAATTTAATGAATCTGAGACTATAGTCACTTTGAGTGTTGCCAAAATATGAGCTGACTCGTTTTTAATTTGCTACAATAACATATGGCATAACAGATGCTACATCTGACCATATAAGTACAGTTGATACACAGTATATAAAACAAGTAAAATAGCTGTCTAAGTACAGTTAAAGGCGGAGGAGGGTCTGCCAGACTGCCAGAAAACAAGTCTGTTGGGGGGGAATAGTTTGTCACATTTTGCCCCTGCCCTCCAGAATACAGCATGTTCAAATCTGTCAAACATATTGCAACTGCAGTTTGGCGGATATGGCCATGTGTGTGGATTTCATCTCTGGAAAGACAGAAACAACTTGACCTGTTGGATATGGGAGTCGATCTGGTGCTCTCACACTGAGGAGATGCATGACTCAGCGGCATTTTGCCCATCCTCTCCGCCTTCTGTCCTTGTTGCAGTGTGTGTGTGTGTGTGTGTGTGTGTGTGTGTGTGTGTGTGTGTTTGTGTGCATTTGTGCTCTGATCTGAAGAGGACTGTTTCTCTGCAGGGATTTGGCCTCAGGCTCCATGTGTCTAGTGAAGATGAACACTACATGCCTTTGATTTGCCTCATCTTCTGTACTATACATGCTGCTGCAAAGCTCGCTCTGTCTCTCTCTCCCTCTCCCTCTCCCTCTCTCTCCCTCTCTCTCATTGTCCTCTACCTGGTGATGATAAGCTTTGCAATCCTTTGATACCACAAATTGTCTCTGCAATTTCCCCTTCACTCTTATTTAGCTCTACCTCTTTTTGACTAAAAGTAATGTGTAGAAACTAGACCATCTTTCTCTTTTTCTCTCTTACCCCTTTAATACTGACACAGTAAGGACTAAGGCACATTACATGATGATTTGACAGAAACTATTGCACACCTGGTGAGTGGAGTCGCCCTCTGGGTGGGATAAACTGTCTGGTCAATTTAAGTGAAGTGGACAGACGTTTCTGTTAGTGGTATTGTCATTTAATCACTGGTAACTCAGTTATGATCGCTTGTCTCAGTCTTGTGTTATAAATATGCTCACTGTATTCTGATTTCAGGTACCTAGATAAACCCTTAACTGTGGTTTTAAGAATCTCAAATGTATAAAAAGTCAAAGATCTATATGTGCACAGTTAGCATACAGCTACATTACATTAGCTACAGATGTAGTTGAGATGTTTTATTGTTATATGCTGAATTAGGGATTCTGTTTTATTAAAATGTCTTTAATTTCTGATTAGTTACATGATTACAAAAAAGTTGAGTTATGTTTTTGGAGGAGCACCTTTTTTGTGGTAGATTTGGCAAGATTGTTTGAATTACAAAAGTAATCAACTGATTCTTTGCAGGACTAGAAAGTGGAATAGTATGACATGAAACCGTATGCAGGTTTCTGATCATTTTCTGCACTGTGTGCTGGTATGTCTTCATCTATAGTTATGTAGTAGTTAATCAGGTAAACAAAATATATGAGAGGTCACGTGTCATGGTGACAGTCTGCTGGCAGTTAAGAGGACAAGTTGGACTGCTGCTCTTTGGTTACTGGTGATGAGATGCTGCATTTAGCAGTGTGGTATCTACATCACTAACCTGTTACAGCAGTGTTATGTGAATAGGTTAAAATCCGGCCTGCACTACAATCAATCTCGCTGTCTCCTCTTCTTGTCTTTTCCCCTTTCTCTTCCTTTCTGTAGAATTTTCTGCAAGGCCGCAGCATCAGAGTGGATGGTGTGGGCGACTCACAGATGGCTACCTTGTAAATTGTCACAAGTTGAAAGCCTTGTGCGTGTGCGTGTGCGTGTGCGTGTGCGTGTGTGTGTGTGTGTATGTGCGTGTGTGAGAACGATAGTACAGGTCAGTAATTGGAGTCAAGCCATATAGGTCTGTCTGAGTGTGAATGAATAATTTATAGAAACGGCACAGTCACTCTCTCTTTTCACTCTGTGACTTTCTATGCATCTCTCCCTTTTTCCTTTTCTGACTGAGGGGAATTCCCTATGGAGGACCTTGGTTGTGGGAGGGCAGGTAGCCAGCACTTGTCAAAAGTACAAACACACTCACACATGCACACATAAACACACCAGACTGCCTTTTCGAAGTGGACCTGAGAAATAACATCTATCCCATCATCCTAACGTCAGCATGCGACGAGCATGCATTTCTGCCAGCAGTTCTGAAACAGAAAGTCATCTGCCTTTCAATGCCCGGAAACTCTTAGAGAGTGAGAATCGCCTTCCTCGTTTCCTTGTGACATCACTGCATAATCGCCATGGGAAACAGGACGGGAAGTGGTATAGAGAGGGAAGGTTAGGAGGGCAAGTGGTGTGTGTGTGTGTGTGTGTGTGTGTGTGTGTGTGTGTGTGTGTGCACGGAAAAGGGGGTGGCTCATTTCCTGCACTCCCACCTCCTCTTACTTGTGTGCATGTGGGTAAAAGATCGGCTCCACAGGCTAGACATCCATAGTTTAATACACTCAGTGTCGCTGCAAATGTTACCACTCACCTCTTTTTTAACTTGGGATTTACACCTGAAATAATCGCTTAAACTAACCGGACCATTGACCTTTGACCTTTCAAGGGCATAGCTGCATCTGGCATATTGCCTCATTTCTCCTTCAGTCCCTTCGCTGTGGTGATGACACTTTTGTTGTAGAGGAAACAGGACGGCCACAGTAAGTTTAGCTTTCGCTGCAGTGGGTGTTGATCTGGTGCAGTGCTGCGTTGAGTTGAATTTCCCGGCCGTGTATGTAACAGCAGACCTGGCTGTCGTCCAAGTAATTTGTCTTCATTAAGCCCGGGAGTTTGGTTCAGTCCAGGTTTTCATCTGTGTTGTCAGGAAGCCAACTGTGAAGGATGCAATGGATTCAGCATATTATGTATGTTGCTGCATGTGTGTTTTCTTTTTGATCATGGCTGCATGTGTGTGGGTTCAGGTTCAACTCTTTAGTGTCCCTTCCAGCAAGGTGTATGGGGCATTATTTTAAAGTATTCAGGGTGTAATTGAGACACAGAAATATACTGTCCCCAAAGCTTTAGAGCAATAACTACATGGATAGCAGTACAAACATGGCCATAATCATTGTGTAGAAATGTCATTGTTGTCATTTTGAAATAAATTCTCTTGTCATGTCCTTTGACCTAGAAAGCACAGGAAATCTGTTTGTCTGAATGTTACCCAGTTGTCTGGTATTCAGCGGATACAATACTGGGGTGGGCAGATGCTACTGTGATAAATTGACAATTGACAATTGACTCGACTTCGTAACCATAGTCCTGGCACATCTAAAAAATTTGAAGACAAATATGACAAAAATATTAAACTCACTAAATCAATGAGAAAACTGTATTATGTCTAATTTAGAACATAGACACTATGTACAAGATTTGAAAATTTCTGACTTTAGTGCCCTCTTGTGTGCCCCCCCCCCCCCCAATGCAGGGTGATTAAACAGCTGTTTGTATTGTGGCTCCTGAGTGTTGCTCTGTCAAAAGTGGCCTTGTCAGGGTAATTGTCTCCCTCATCACTGCTAATCCAAGATGAGACACTTAGCAGTGCCCTCCCCTCCGTAGTTTCCATGTGTTGCATCATATCTGTAATATCCCCATTAGTAGCACTGGAGGCTGAAAACAGGCCGGCGTATGGTGAGGGGAAATTGGGATGTTTCCATGCTGGCTCCCTTTTTCTGTGTAATGTTTCAAATCGTTGTGGCTTCGCGCTGTTTTCAGGCAAGAAAATTTGACTTTTTGAAATCTCACAGAATCTCTTTCGATTAAGTGCCAGAGTGAAAGAGTGAAATCAAAATATTGTCTTCTTCTCCCCTTTAATTCCTGTTCCTTTTTTTGTAATGCCTTTTGTGCTCCCAGTCAATGTCTATTTTTGTCTGTTTTCAATTGTTTAAATGTTGGAATATTAACACACACAGATTCTCTCTTTCTCTCTCTCTCACTCTCTCCCCCTCTCCCTCTCTCTCTTTCTCTTCCAGACAGAGAATGGCAGTGCCCTCCATGAGGCAGCTCTCTTTGGGAAGATGGATGTAGTTCGCCTCCTGCTTGACTCAGGTGGGTCTATAAATGTATTCCAGCAAAACAAAAAGTCACTGAGTGTATTTGCTCGTGTGTGTGTGTGTGTGTGTGTTTGCCTTGTTTTCCCATCCTATTTTAACCTGCGGCTAGAAGCTCCACATGCTTTTTTTGTCTAGGTTGTGGGTTGAAATTGCCCTCAGGTGAACTACAGGCATCTGTCTGCTGCATTCTTTCATGCTGTTAGAAAATCCTGGACTTTCAATTTTATTATTGTTTTTTGCCCGCCCCCTGTACCCCCCCCCCCCCCCCATCAGTACAATCAGCAAGATATGTTATCTGGTGTCAGCGTGTAAAATCGTGCAGGTATAGGTCAGGAGTTTCAGTTCATGTTGACATCAAACATCAGATTGCCTCCTGCGATTTTTGCACACAAAAGTCTCAAGAGATTACTCAAAATTGAGCCAAAAACAGAAAACATCCAGTGAGAGGCAGTTCTGTGGACGGAGACGCCTTGTTGATGAGAGAGGTCAGAGGAATGACTCAGCCTAACTCAGATAACCACACTTTACAATAGCAGTGAGGAGAAAAGTGTCTCAGAATGCACAACATGTCAAAGCTTGAGGTGGATGGACCACGTTTGGTTCTACTCCTGTCAGCAAAGAACAGAAATCTGAGACTGCAGTGAACACAGGCTCACCAAAACTGGACAGTTTAAGTTTAGTTTTAAAAAAATGTAGCCTGGTTCTGCAGATCATAGGGTGGGAATTTGTTGTCAAAGAGGTCCACACCTCTTTAATAATAAATTAAATGGTCTTTTCTCATTTCTTAATTTTAGAAAAATAAAATAAAACATGTAGCTTGAGCTCTCCCTTTTTCTTCTTTTTGTTAACTCAATTTCACATCTTAACAGCCTCAACCATTTTTATAATAAACACTCACAACACATCTTCACAGCTGAACTTTCCTTGCTTATTTCTCCAACTATTTCTATTCTCGTTTCTTCCCTTTGTGTGAATCTCAATCACTGACTAGAGTTGCAATAATTGGCTGAGTAGCATCATGTGACAAGTACTAAGAGCACATGATGATTTTAAAAAAAGAGCAGGTAAAAGTTCAATTTTTGTACATGTACACTACTTACACTTAAAGCGATGAAGTCGGGACACTGTTGTTCTTTGATACCCCCACCAGCCCTCACCCACTTTCCTTCAGCACTTCCTGTTTCCTGCAGGACTTCCTCTGCGTGGCCATGTTCTTTTGGCCTTGATTTTATTAACTTCCTGGATCAACACTGGGCTGTGTTGGCCTGAACTTTACCCCATGAAACTTTGTGTGTATCTGTGGAGGGTGGGAGATGGGTTGTGGGGCCGTTGTAGGGATGCAGGATGGATAGTCTGCCTTTCATTGTCAATCATGGACTGTGCAGGAAACAGCTAAGGATGCTGAAATAAAAATCCAATGCCAAAAATATCTTCATGTCATATTTTGGATTTAGTGGTGAGAACTGCTACTCTGATGAGAAGATCAATACCACACTCACATCTGTATGGTAAATATGAAGCTGGAGCCAGCAGACAGACAGACAAAATAGGCACATAACCCACCTATAAAATAGAAAATTGTCATTAGGCTGCAACATAACAAAAGGTGAAAAACTTTCTGAATGCACTTTATAGTGTGTAGTGGAAGAAAATCTTAGAATCAAGACAACTGACTACTGAATTCTTATTTTATCTATCGGGTTTGTGTGATTTTGTTTTTATTTTTTTGTTTTATTTGTGAATGTGTCTTGTGTGCGCCTGCACTTGAGTTTATATGGGAGCCTTGTCTTTGTCTGTCTCTGTGTTTGGTGCATTCTTGAATGTGTCACTGTCTGAGATTGCAATTTAGCATTGTTTAGTCAAGGTTTATGAAAAGCGTGTTCTTAATAAAGATTCTTCATGAATCGATAAAGTCATGTTCATCCTCCGGTGACTGCAACTCATTCATCTTTTGCAGTTTTGTCACTGAGTAGGTGTGTCAGCAGATCTTTATTATGTGTGTAGTTCAGCGTGTCTGTGGTATAGTTGAATTTGGCTTTGAGCAAGTTTGAGTAGGTCTATCTTGTTCAACAACATGGGTGTTGTGATGTTACCTTTACCCTGTGTAAGTGTGTATCAATGCTCATACTGTATTTTATGTGTGTGTGTGTGTGTGTGTGTATATACATATATATACGTGTACGTTTCAGGGATTGAGACCAATCTGAGAGATAGTCAAGGGAGAACAGCTCTGGAGATCTTGAGGGAACATCCTGCACCGAAATCCCAGCAGATCACTGCTCTTATCCAAGGTAAGACACACATGCACACAAACACAAACAAGCACATACATGCACAGATAGTTACTCCTAGATTTAGATGAATTTCACTCGAGAAATTGGGTCATTGCAGAAGTAAAGTAAAGAGCATTCATGTAGAGTAAATGTAGTTCAACCTAATATACAGATTTGCAGTTGTTCTCATGTATAATACATGGAAGACTATTAACTATCAGTAGATCACTTCACCATGTGACTCGATCATTGATGATTGACTGTAGGTTACATTTCAGAGGGAATGTGATGAATCTTGGAGACATGTTGACATATAGGCTGTACAAATGTGCATGGTTGTCTGTCTTCATTTTCAGATGTTTTTATCATGCAAATGTAGCACATGACATTGTGACTGTTGTTGCAAGCGGATGTGATCCAATTGAGAAATGTTGTTTTCCAGGAAGTTTATTTTCCAATAGGAAACAATGGAAGCTCTTGAATGTGTTTACTTGCGACAGCGGGAGAGTTCGTAGTTACACATCTCAAGCTCTGTAAATGTTGTTCTTGATACACACAATGCAGGGTTGTTTCAAATCGTCTGTCATTGTCTTACAGGCTCTGCTAGGTTTTGAATATATTTATATATTTATTTTCCAGTAAAAACAGGGTGCTGGAGTGTTCAAAGTGTTAAATGTTCACAAATGCTTTGTGAATTAGTGTGTTTAGTTGCCAAAATCATCTTTGTTGGAAAAATGCCACTATATCTTATAAATGGAAAATGTGGTTGTTAAACAGGGCTACAGCTGACAATTTTTATTACTGATTAATTTGCTAATGTTTTTTTCTATCAATTGTTTGGTCTGTTTTATGTAAAAATAGTTAAAAATTGGCTCTGAGAAATGATAATCAAGCTAATAAATGTACTATATATGACACAGAAAACCAAAAAAATTCACACATTTCAGAAGATGAAATTAGAGTCTTTGGTAATTTTGAAGAATAAGTGCAATGATCATCATTAATCAAAATAGTTGCCAGTATTGTCACAATTTCATAATGGCACTTTTCTACACTGATACCCCTAATCAGTCTGTTTCAACCAATGAAAAATATGTATAATTTTAACATTTCATCATTTTAATTTTCTTCCCTCAGTCTTTCTCATCTTAGTTTTTTTACCTGCCATGTTTACTGCAATGTGTTTTGTGGGTGACCAATGATTGTTAGTGTGAGTTGGCTGTGCAGTCCCTGGGGACCCAAAGATTCTCCACGTTGTACCTTTTAAAGACAGTGTTGTCCTGATGTGATTATCAGGCTCAGAATGAACGCTGTAATCTGTGGCTTAGAGGCCTTCACTATCTGTCCTTGTGTAATCTGTGGGTGTATGTAAGGCACATACTTACAGATGATTTAAAGAGCATGAGAGAAAGGCAGACGGAAATGGAGGGATGAGGAGAATATGTCAGAGCTAAAAAAAAAAAAACCCAAAAAACAGTGAATCTGTCTTAACAAGGAGGCAAAGACAGAAAGGGGAACATATACTGAATTCCAGGAATGTTACTGTGACGACCCAGCTCGTTAGGGGAAAGAGAAGCAACATAAGACCAGGTGTGTTTGGTAAAATAAAGTTATTTATTCACAAGGAGCTTAGATAATTGACACAAACAAACAACTGTGAGGCAACTACAAGAAAAACAGGTCTTGTGGATGCTATTCAAAATGAAGGAATAAATATAACCAAATAAAGATAAGTGCTACAAGTAGCTTTTCCTAAGGAAAAGCTAAAATAGAAATAAAACACTTGTGAAAACCAAAAGAAGCTCATAGTATCCCTTACCAAGGGAATTTTGAGTGTTCACAATTAGTGACTGAAACTATACCTGGCCCAGTTCCATGTGCCTCAATACTAGTTTCACAGCAATTAACATCTACCAGTGTGAAACAATAACAAGAGGCATGTTGGCGAGCTGAGAATCCCAGCTGCATGACTGTCAAGCTGGCCAAGCTTTTGTAAACCAGTTGCATCCTCTGGATTTGAGAGTCGGACCGGGTGCTGCTCCAATCAGGATCCTCGGCTCGTCAGACAGGAAGTGGGAAGCGGGTATGGGCAACGCCTCAGCAGATGGAACCAATCTCGTACAGGGCAACACACATCATACACATCAAAACACTACAAGATGGGTTAGACACATGGGGTGGGTGTTGACTGTTACAGTTACAAATTGGCCACAGTTAGAAAATAACAGACATAAAGCTGATGTGAAACCAGGGAAAACACAGTGATGCAACAGGCAAGGAAATTTTGTGTATTGTGTAATTTTGTGTAATTGGGGATTCCAGTTTCCCGTTTAGCGCTGAAATAATCTGGTATATTGTAGTCCAAAAAATGAGGTAAAACCATCTGTCAGCCCCCATGTCTCTGTAGAGTATATGATGGCTGCCAATGGAACTTAAAGCTTCATTTTGATTCTGCTGCTCATATCCTGAGCAGTGCAATAAAATCTTGTGCCTTTTTCCGAAATAGAATATTTGAAAATATGCAGTTAACACTGCAATTTTGCAAGTAAAGGTGAAAAGAATCAGTGAAAACACCTGATAGGAGATATCGGTCAGAAATAGCTTCCATCAAAGTCTCATCCCAGTAAACCAGAGCTGGAGACAGAGATTTAGACTTCAGTATAAACAGGGGAATGAAAATGTGTGTGAGAGAGAGGAAGAAAGAAAAAGAGACAGAGAGAGAGGGAGAAAAAGGACACAGCTGTGACTTGGTGAAAAGATCAGCTGCATGCCATTTCCTGTTGGAGAGGAGATGGAAAAGGACACACATACACACACAAAGAGCAAAAGACCTGTCATTTACTCAATTGTACCAGCTGAGGGGCTTTGTGGTTGCCACAGGCACCTCGTTATGAATAGATTCTCATTTAATTTACAGCGCATGATTCATCCTTCTGTTCGAATTCATTAACAGTTCACTTTTTTACTGCCCAGCAGCAACTGGTTATGTACCAAAGAGCTGTATAGTAGCTTAACTGTAATACTTAGACACCAAGCTGAATGTGTTCTGTTTATGAAGAATCTGCTGATGTATGAGTACAGAGGAATAAAACTGTCACTCTAATCCTTCCTCTCTGACTCTGATACACATTCCCATACTCAGTATAATTGTATGCAAATGTAGTTGTGTATCATAATCACTGAGCTGAATACCAGGATTCATAGTAGTAGAAATGCACACACATACACTCACACACACAGACTTTCCTGACATTAACAGGGTTCCTCGTTAGGACTGCAGGGAAGCTGTCACATGATTTCACTGTGTAAGCAGCGTGTTTGTGTGTTTTCAGCTCCTAATGCCTCACTTAAGCAAATTTATTAGCCAGTGTTGATGCCCCCAAACCTGAACCTGCTTTCTCTCTTCGTCGTCCTCTTCCTCCTTCCTCCTCCTCTTTTTCTTCCCACATAATTCTTCTGTTTTGCTTTTATGAACAGCAAAGTGCTCTATTAGTAGAGGCTGTGAAGTGAATTTGTGGTGCGATGAAAAGTGCGAGTTGAATGCAGCACAATCTGTTCACTATGTTGATGGCTGTGCTATTATATTGATCCAGTAAAATGCCTCTGAAATGCTTTTCCTCTCCTCCCCCTCGCCCACCATCCCACTGCCATCATTTCCTCCAAACTTTTCTTCTGGCCTGTGGCTCTTTCTCCACTTTCTTCCTGGTTTCCCAACACATTTCCAACTCTTTGCCTGCTCTTTCTTGTCTTTCATCACATCTCATCCCCCACATTCTCATCCCATCCTACCCCCTTGTCTCCATGTCTCTGTAGAGTATATGATGGATGAGATGGAGAAGAGGAGTATCGTTGAGGAGCCTGTTCGCAAGTGTCCCATCCCAGCACCTCGAACCTCTGTCCCCTCGCCCTCTGCCTCTCCCTCCCTCAGACATAAGAGTGAGTACACACACACACATACACAATGCAATCAAATGGCTTAATGCAATATAAGGTTTCTAAAGAGACATTTCTTCTGACCAGAAAGGTTTCAGTCGAACAGAAGGGACAGAAACCAGCATCAGAGAGAAAAAACAACCTCTACAGGAGAAAATACATTTTGCATGAGGTTCAGAATATGCTTTAAAATATTCCTCAACATCTCTAAAAGAATCTGCATAAAAAATTCATTCACATAAGTAAAGGAAAACCCAGCAGGCCAGAGGATCTTTTTAAAAAAAAAAAAAAAAAAAAAAAAAAAAACTATAGCTGTAAACCTGTTATGAACAATTGTTTACATTTTTGCAATATGGGCAAACAATGCAATATAAATGCAGCCATGGAGAGCAGCTCCTTCAGTGGAGAAAAACATTACTGCTTTTCCAAACAGTCGTGCACTTTCCCTGTCCAGCGCTGCCACCTGTGTTATGAATGCACCATTGCAACAAGCTGAGCTCCAGCTGATCCGGTCTCCTCTCTCATCTACTGTCAGCAGATACCATAATTACCTTGATTACCTCGGAGACTCTTGGAAGGAGACGAGAGAAAGTGATTAGCACAGTTTGCTCCTCAGAATGTGCCTGAATGCGACTTTGAATGCATTAGCAATGCAGAAGGGAGATGGAGGAAGTGTTTTGCAGCCATTAGTTCTGTCTCTGCTTTTTGCCAAAGGTTGATTCTAGCATTAAATCAGGGAAACGGGATAGAGGAATCTAATATATTTTAATCTCCTTTGAACTGTACAGTCTGTTTTGTTGCTTAAAAATTCAAACAAATAAACGTCACAATGTATAAGGAATGGGATATACATTTGTCAGTTATATAAGTTTATTTTATCACTTTTGTACCAGCAGTAATAGGAACTGGCTTTATACTGATGCTGCGATATATTACCCTTCTTCCCTCAGATGATGCTGTGACAAGTGAGCTGTCAAAACTGCTCCATGAGATTAAAAAGTGCCGGGACAGGGACTACTCCTTCGAGGAGCTCTGCCACACCATCTCCTCCCACTCCATGGACAGCTTTGGGAGCGGGCGGCTCTCTGACGAAGATCACCCGGATCGACCCAATGGCACCCTGACTCGAGTCAGCAAGGTACAGCACACAGTTATGACAGAGGACTTGTGCATGTGTTTGAAGTTTGGTCTGTTGGAGAAATGTGTTCAGGTGCTCCTCATTAAGACACATTTCTTAGTTGTTGTTGTTATTGGATGTTCAGTTACTTAAGCAGCTCTATGTTCACTTAATATTCCAACTCATCACTTCAGACAGTAGTTAGAAGTTTTGCCAAAATGGTTTAGTTAGTTGAGTAAGTGATTAAATAATGAACACTAATTTTGATAATTAGTTCATTCCTGAGTCAGTAATCATTAATCAAATAAAAATGCCAAACATTCACTGGTTCCAGCTTTTCAAATGTAAAGATTTGCTGCTTTATATCTCAGTTTTATATCATTATACATTCAGTATCTTTGGGTTCCGCACGATTGGAGAAAACAATCTGAAGGTTCAAGGAAATTGTTATGCTGATACAATACCAGAAGCAGATTATCTAGAAAATGAGGTGTGCGCAGTTATATATATATATATATATATATATATATATATATCATAGATCATATATTGCACTTGCTCTCATTTGCTTGTACTCAATTGTAAATGTGGAATTTCATCCAAAAACACAAAGCATGAATAGCAATGTCCCTTATCCTTGCCAAGCTGAAGACCTTTGTCAACACTATATTGTTGGCTGTGAACGGATTAAGATGCCCAGAAAATAATTGCAGTTTAAAAAGCACAGAAGTCATTCTACATTACATTTATTGGCAAGTAATTTTAATATAGCTGCACAAAAGTAAAGAAATACTTTGTAGACAAACACACAAATGATCTATTTCTACTTCTACTACTGTTTGCCTAAAAGCCTTCATAAACTTATATATGTAGTTTGTTAGGCGTGTCATCACACTACAAAGGGTCCAAATGAGTGACAGTACTGTAGGCATGTGAGGGAATTTTCCTTACTTTAATAGATGCTTGTACTTTGTCTATCTTGACAACAGAGGGCAGTATCAGATAGACTGATGCCACCAAGTTGGCTTGTCCAATTCAGTATTCACTTGATGTTACTGAAACACATCTGCTGCTGATGGTTGTTTGCATGGATATGCTGAGAATTGTAATTATTGTTTATTGTTTATTGTTCAAACAGCCTTTTACAGCCTGCAGACATGTTTTTTTTTCTTGACCTTGATTCTTCCAATTTGAAATACTGTTAGTGGTGTGTCGTTCACTTGTTCAAATATTCACTTTGTTTCTCTCCACTCCCTAAATCCCACATAGAGAGAGGGAACCTGATCAGACCGTAATTTTTGAAGTTCATTTTGTAGAAGATAGCTGACTTTTATCAGTATTAGCTGACCAGAGAATCACAGCTGCGGTTTATTTCTAATAGCCAGCACAGCATGATGCCGAGGCTCTGGGCTTTTTAAAATCCACTGTGCAGGAAGTCAGATGCTCCACAGCACACAGAGGTCATCTATCACACTGACCTCCCACCTGAGCCTTTAGACCGCACACATATTGAGAAGCATCTAAAGGATTTACTGTGTCTGTGCTTCTTTCTTGCTTGCTTATTGTGGCATGTCTGTTTTTCTTTCCATTTCTCTCCTCCTCGCTCAACAACAGCAACACGCACTCACACAGACCTTACAAATACCTCACCGAACAATATTGTGAGACTGATCAATAGCTCATTATCTTTTCCATTTCTATAATAAGCTCAATATGAAAGCAGGCTGAGATATGTTTTGCATGTACATTGAGCATGCACACCTTTGCTCACTTAAAGTGTAATTATCTCAATCCATCTTGTGTCCCTCTCTCTCTATAAGTACCAATTTGTATTCCATTACTGACATTCACTGTGTCTGTGCATGTGGCTGGAGCCATTAGCCTGTGATTCGATGTGTCTATTACACATGAATAAAACATGCAGGACAGGACATGCGCACACACACACACATGGACACATGCACTCACAGACACACATGAAGAATACAGCCTTCTCACAGTTACCTTGGTGTACCCACTGTGTGTAAACCAAGCAATAATGGAAATTCATGTTTGTGTGTGTGCGTGTCCTATATTCAGATGAGCACATACTATGTGTGTACTCATGAGGGTTAGATCAAATGTGTTTCTGAATGCCAATGCAGCTGGTTTATTGACACTGGCAGTACTTTCTGCTGTTAAATAGAATTGAATGTAATCATTTGTGCAATTTATCAATTGTTTAGTCTATAAAATGTCAGGAAATAGAGAAAAATACACATTACAATTTTCCATTGCACAAGGTCTTCAAATAGCTTGTTTTGTTCCAAACCCAGAGGACATTTAATTTACAGCAATATATAGAAGAGGAAGGTGGAAAATATCATATTTGAAAATCTGGAATCAATGAATGTTTGCCATTTTTACTTGTCAATTGATATTGTGGGAACTGACTTGGAAACATTCACTATTTGAACTTTGAAACTGTTAATGTCTCTGAAGCAGCATTTAGACTGAAAAACAAATTTACACATTCAGTTAAAATGTGTAGAACTTATTGTTTTCAGTGAAATTGCATTAAATTATTTTTTTCCTTTTTTGAATATTAAAACATGAAACTAGATTTTTAGATTTACAACCTGCAGCAATGCTAGCAACTCTGTGATGCGGTAAATAGGTACTGCTTTGCTTTGAGCTACATGTTAACATTGGCATGGTAACATGCTCACAGGAACAAGGCTAACATACTGAGGACTAGCAGGTAGTATTTCACTAATTTTTTCCGTATCAATAGCATGCTAATATTTGCTAATTAGCACTAAATATGAACATGTTGATCTAATTATGGCAGTAGATAAAATCAATTTAACTCTTGTCAAGACATTTCACTCTGAATCAAAAATGTAAACCTGCAGGAAGTAATAGAGGAAAAGTGAATGGTTATCACCTGATTCATTCTCTGGTTCAACTAAATTTCATATTGTAGAGACAATTCAGTCTGAACCAACCAACTAACTAACCAACCAACTAACTAACTAACCAACCAACATTGCCACGTTTGGTTTCCTACATCAACTGAAATACGCCAACTTGTTAACAAGCCTTCAAAATGCACACACAGACATAAAAAAACATATCTTAATGTAGTTAAGTAGAAGAAATTCCCAAAGTAGTAATTTATCCCTTCAAGGGTTTCCCATAGACAGCTAATGTAATATTGATCAGTTATGCAGGCCTCAGTACTGAATAATTAATGTAGTGTTCTTTCTATTGAACAAAGGCTGATATCTGATTTTTTACTGTAATGAGAGGACGTGTCTGTCTTTTGTTCATGCATACAGCGCAGTATGTGTATGTAAAGACTGCAGTCCATTTTACATCTATCAATATTCCAGTGTTGTCGAGGCCCCTTTGCAGTCTGGCACGATTGGTGACCTTTTGGTTTCAGCTTCATTTTGTGCCTCCATCTCCAGTCTTGCTGCCTTTCTTTTGCTCTTCCCATCTGTCCCTCCTTCCTCTGCAACATCTCTCAGCTTTATTCCTTAGTTTTCCTCCTGCTTAAGCCTTTTCTTTGAGCATGTCCTCCTGTCTTTAGCATGTCCTCCAAATTCCTTCCTTTCTTAATCCTTTCCCTCTTTACATCAGACCTCCCTCAGCTCCCTGGCAGCTCCCTTGCCACCGTGTCTCTGCTCCTCCTGCGGTGATATTGCTCTGTCTATGTAATCTGCTGTGACCTGTGTCCTCTGCTGCATCATATGGTTCACTGAGATATCAGGTGGGCTGTATCTGCCCTCTGACATTCATGGGACAGAGCTCATCCACACACCTGCCTCCTGGGAGCCAAAGTGCCCCAGGAAAGGACACAGTGTGCATGTGTGTGCGTTAAAGTTGTTTTGCTGTTTCTGCACCTTCCTTCTTTTGGGTTAACCCTTTTCTGTGTGGCCCAAAGCAGTAATGTGGAGGTTTTTCTACTTGAATTAAATGACGGCCACTGGTCACATCAGGAATTGTCTTAAAATTAAAAAAAAAGGAAAAAAAAGAAAGAAAAACTCAAAAAAGGGAGATTCATGCTGAAAATGAAATGTTTTTCTTTGCATTTGGAATAACTTAAGTATTAAAAGAAACGATGGAAGATATTTATTTTTTTGTGTATATGATGCATCTTTTCGGCATCTTCTTTGGGCCAGCTCGAACTATAAATACAATACTGACCTAATATCACCTTATAAAGTTAATATAGCAAATGTTTAGGCAAACAGTTGCTTACTTACACATCCACCAGACATGAAACAACATTAGCATTAATCTGGAGTCATGTTTGTGTATGCCTGACAGTCCAGTATGCACTATCATTGAGCGTTTTTTTGGTCTGCACCAACTCCTGAAAAAAATTGTCTTTAGCTGCTAAATCCTTGACTATGTCCACTTGCTCCTGTGGCTAACCTGCTCAGCAGGTAGTGTAAAGTAGGTAATGCTACTGTAGATTTGGTCATAATTCTGTGTGGTAATAATTAATCACTACAAGCAACTTTCAAATTACATATAGTTATTTAATGCATTGTTAATGTAAAAAATATTTGATGTGTAAAAAGAACTTCACTTTGCCTTCTGTCCTTAAATCTCTCTTTCTCTAACTGTATACATAAACTTAGGATCTCTCTTTTAAGCTCTTAATGAAAGCACAGATTAAGTTTATAAGGCACATGTATCCTCTGACCCTTGAACTCCTAACTGTTACTCGATTGCTTTGTTGGAGTTCTGGGAATTGACTTGTTTTCTGCATTTGAACACACAGCGGCCGACCCCGCCTCTTGCTCCAGCACTGGAGGAAGATGAGGCAGACAAGAGTTGTGGCCCCACTGGATTCTGGGAGGCCCTGACACCCTGCAATGGGTGCCGCAACCTGGGATTCTCCAGCCTCTCGCAGGTACATGCACATTCACACACATGCATACATGCAGTCTGAATTAACCTATTGTAATTGGGCAAGGGTCACTTAAATTACAGAGATTATTTTCACTGCTAATTTGCATTATAACATATTTTCAGTATCCACATAATGGAACTTATATTACATCATATCACTTCATAAACAACAAATAGCCCACAGTGTATTCAGTATTCAGACCCACTTTTCAGATTTTATTATGTTGCAGCCTTATGTTAAAATCATTTAAATTCATTTTTCCCTCATCAAGCTATACTCAATACCTCACAATCACTTGAAATCTAGCTCAGGTGCCTCAAATTTCTCTTGGTCATCTCTTAGATGTTTACACCTTGATTGGAGTCCATTTGTGGTAAATTCAATTGATTGCATATTAATTTAGAAAGGCACACACCTGTTTACATGCAGAGCTCAGACACTGTGTCTTTGCATCTGGGGTCGGCTACAAAAAATGTTCTGCTGTATTGAAGAGCACAGTGGCCTCTGACATAATTCTTAAATGGAAGAAGTTTGGAACAACCAGGCCACCCAGTCATATGGAGCAATCAGGGGAGACTGGGCCGAAGGTTCACTCTCCAACAGGACAATGTCCCTAAGCACACAGAAAATACAACACCAGCTAGGGCCCTGACTTGAACCCAATCGAACATCTATAGAGAGACCTGAAAATGCCTGTCCACCGACAGTCCTCATCTAACCCGACAGAGCTTGAGAGGATCTGCAGAGAGAAATGGCAGAAAATCCCCCAAATTCAGGTGTGCAAAGCTTGTTCTGTCATACCCAAGAAGACTCAAGGCTGTAATCGCTGCCAAAAGTGCTTCACCTAATTACTGAGTTAAGGGTCTGAATATTTGTGTCAATGTGATATTTCAGTTTTTCCTTTTTAGTAAATTTGCAAAACTTCTAAAATACTGTTTGGTCATTATGGGATATTGAGTGTAGACTGATGAGGAAAAAAATAACCAAAAGGATTTTAGCCTAAGGCTGCAACATAACAAAATGTGAAAAAATGAAGTGGTCTAAATACTTTAAGAATGCAAATTAAGTTTGTCACATGGTGTAGAGAGTAACGCAGCACACATACAGTACATGCATACACACTTATTCACTACAGTGAAATTACAGGCTAGTGATATTGCTATTGTTCTGAGTGAATACTTTCACTGGTTACCGTGGGAACGCAGTGAATGAGCCGTCACTAGAGAGACTGGCTCTCCTGGCCGCTCTGCATACTCTGAATCAGTTCAGTATCTGTCTCTTTCTTGCTCTCGCATTTGACTATTATCATATCTCTTAGAGGACTAGTACCAACATTGATTGTTCTGTCAGAAAACTCATGTGATACTGTGATGCATGCACAAACTATATTGAGAGCTGATATCTGGTATCTGATCTCTGATCTCAACAACAACATGTGAGCACACAGTATTCCTTACAGCACCGTACATCTGCAGCACAGACAGAGCATTTGACAGCTTCAATAGACAAGTTAATTACAATGGGTATATGAGTGCAGGCTGTCTTCATGTTGATATGACTGTAGTTGTTACTTTGTCTACTGTATGCACATTATCCAACAATTACAAAGTATCATGTGCATCTACCAATTTAAAACCAGAGAAATAAATACAAATGTACAAATTAAACTAGTGTAGGAGACAATATTGATTACTCTACAGTATTTCAAGGGTACAGAAAAATGGCATTGACAAAAAGCTGTGGAAAAATGTACAGTCTCAAACATATTTATGAGCTTACTGCCTACAGGGGTAAATTGTACTTAAAAGGATAAAATCTACCTATTTTATGAACCTAAATTTAATTGAGGCTGCAACATGAGTGTCCCAAGCTCATTCTTTTCAGCTCCATTTATTTCCCTTCTTTGCCCAAATCAAAAAATTATGTTAACTATGCTCATTTATCCACCCACAGAAAGAAACCTAAGTCCTGTTACTCACTGCTTGTTTAGCAATGTGTATGTACACATTTTGTACATCTGTTGTTTTTCCTTTTACCATTTGAATCATAACTATTTCTGTAGTCTTTGTTAGTCATTATTATGTTTTTATTTTTATATATTTAAATTCTGTTCTTATTTCAAGTCTGTAAATCAGTTAAGGCTGTCTGCTATTAAATAATATATCATTCTTATGGACTTCTATTGGCCCAGTCTGATGTTAAAAATCACTAACCTACACAGGAGATTGAAAGGCAATGGAATACTGCGTGTACTATTACAGTATGTGTTTATTTTCTCCATCACCTCAAAGTTCAAATGAAATTCTTTTTTTATTAACCAAAAGGAAAAAAAACATAACTAACTCTGTTTGGAATATAATATCTTGTCATGGTCAGCTCTTTCTCCTGGGTACTCCAGACCTGCTGGACTAGGAATCCTCACCTGTTACATCTCCCTGCCAGATGTGTGACGTTTCCTGCTGGATGTTTAGCCAAAACTCTAGAAAAGCAAGCTTAATCCAAACTCTGTTCGACTTCCTAGTATCCCTACTCCATCTTTCCTTCTTCCTTCCTGCCCCCTCAGCCCTTCTAGCTGTGTATATAAGTGTGGTTAAATGTGTGCAGATGAGTCTTTAGCGGTGAGGTGCGTGTTGGCTCAAACAGCAGGACAGCTGACATTTACAACACAACAGACCCTCTGTCTTGTATACTGGCAGCCTGCCTGCCTGACTGGCACACTGCCTGGAGAGGTTTGCACCTGGATGAGTGTGTGTGTGTGTGTGTGTGTGTGTGTGTGTGTGTGTGTGTGTGTGTGTGTGTGTGTGTGTGTGTGTGTGCGCGCGCGTGTTTATTTGTGTGCACTAAGTTGTTGGTGCATAGAAAAAAAGAACCTTTGTGTATATTAAATGTTTGAGTATGCCTGTAAGCTTGTTGGTATATACAGCATATTTGGTGGCAATAGCTTTGTGTGTTTCACTACAAATGTGTGTCTGAATTTGGCGTGTCATCTTGAGTTAGTGTGGGTGGGTTTGTGTGTGTGTGTGTGTGTGTGTGTGTGTGTGTGTGTGTGTGTTTTTATAGAAGATGATATGAGAAGGAAGGAACAGAATGGGGGAGGAAACAGAAATTGAGTTGTTATTGTATAATTAAGTTAGCACCATGCTAATTTGTCCTCTGTAATTGTGAATAAACAGAGTTAACATAAAGACAGAAGCCTGTGCATCCTCTCTGAGGATGAATGGACCGAGTGAAACATTTTTTTGCTGCAAACATTTTTGGGCTTCAGTTGTTACCTTCATGTCCATCTCGTCCTTTCCTCTCATCATCCCACAAGAGATCTGTCAACCTTATTCTTCTTCAGCTTGTTTTATATCACACCTCTCTCGCTCTCTGCCTCATTTTTCTTTCACTTTATGTTTCTGCAGAAGAGTGTTAACCTTTGTATTGATTGTCTGAATGCTGAGTTTGTTCAGCTGTCACTCAAGTCTGTCAGTCAAAGAACTGGACTGACTAACAAGTCATAGAGAAAAGATTCTGCTACCAAAACCTTTAGATTTTCACCTTTAAGCAGCAGGTCAGACTGAGTTTTTTTTACTACAGTGTCCTGCATAAATACATATTTTTTATCAAAAAGTTAGGATAAGTTTTGTTATTTCACTTATTGGATTTTCTGAACGTGTTTGTCTCAGTTGGAAAAATGTGAGAGAAAAAAATGTTCACCAGAATTTAAGGCTCCAGCATTATAATTAATGGGCTCTGATGATCATTCTTCAAACATAGTTAGTTCAATAGTTAGATGGTTCTCTGCCGTCAATCAGATCTGATCAAACTACACCCACCCGGTCCTGATGAGGTAGCTCAGTTTTTGAATGTGATCGTATGAAATAATTTCTAAGATGTTTGTCTTCTATATGTTGATAAGGTCATTAAGCAACATTTTTATATTATTAACATTATTTGGGGTTGTGTTTGTGTCCAACTGGGGAATATAAGTTCAATAATCCCCCCTTTTTTAACTTTTAACTAACTGTTTGTCTGTTTGATGCTGATCAGGTAGCGCAAAGTGGGTTTTTTTTTTTTTTTTTTTTTTTTTTTTTTTTACAGTAAAATTGTAGGTTGTTAAATGAAAACTGAGCTAAAAGATGCTAAAAATCTCAGTGAACTGCAGTGTTGGGTGATAATTCACTGGTGTCACCACCAAGTGTGATCCCCTTTCACACACACATAGTGATTTGATCCTTTGTTAATATAAAAATATTGATTATAGCATCTTTAAGATATGAAACCAAATTCTCAGGCACTTTAAAATACCATAGTGTTTGGGCTGAAATTAGTATTTTTGTCTTAACTGAAAAAGGCTCAGGCTGATGAAGCTTCTGTATTTGTTTTGGGTATGTCTGTGTGAGTGCACATGGCTGAGCAGGTGCTTGCACAAATTACTTGAATGCTATTAGTGACGTTATCGTGTGTCTGTGTGTAGACGGCACACGTGATTGAGACTGTAGTTTGAATTACATAATGAAGAAAAACAGAAGTGGTGCACTTTTTTTTAAAGCTAATGAATTTAGCATGTCACGTGTGTGTGTGTGTGTGTGTGTGTGTGTGTGTGTGTGTGTGTGTGTGTGTGTGTGTGTGCTCGTGCGTGCATGTGTGTGCATGCATACGGGCATACATACCTGTATTAGGAAGCTGCCGCTATTGTGAATTTTCATTGCCAGCCACGGGTGTCCTCCCACCATTGCCATGTGACCACCAAGTGATGCTAAAGTGTTTGTGGAGGAGGTTTCCTCTACGATGTTGACTTTAATAAAAGAAGTTTTTAAAGTCAAGGTTTCACTTGTGGAAACCGTGAAAGTAAAATAGAGAGAACGAAAAAGGAGAAAGATAATGAACAAATGCAAAAAAAAAAAAGATACAGATGACGAGGTTGGCAGGGTTGCCAGGCAACACAGAAATTCATGAGATGTAAGGCGTGGGATGTCCACCATTGACAAATCTCAGTCACCATCAGCACAGGTGCG